AATGATGTCCTTGTGCTATTGATAAAGTCGTGTGAAAGCGTCTGAAAACCGTGCTAATACTGAAAATAGTAGCTAAGAGTGAAAGCGTAACATGATGCATAAGGGTGCTTCACACAGTTTCATTCACTAAATTTAAAGCTGTGGGTGGCGGACTTTATTTAAGACATCCCGCCACAGCTCTCACGCTGTCCGGTAACTTTTCCTGGGTTACACCCAGCTCCAGCTGTTCACGCTCACAGTCCACGTGAAGCCGGCATAACGGAGACTTGAGTTCTCAAATCTGCGCGCGCTTTTCCGCAATTACTCAAGCCCGTGTGACGTCACTGGAACGATGACTCTGCATCCACGGCGACGGGAAGCCACTCTTTGAGCCGTGTTATTTCCACCCAAGCGTTATGTAACGCATTGCCTGTGGGTTTGACGCCCACGGAGCAGAGGACAGGATGATGTAAAGCACACAATGGTGCTGCAGCGTGTTAATTCTAGACGAGGTCACAGTTCAGTACCCTGTGATCACCCAGCTCAGCGCTGGGTGATCAGACAGTAGATGAAGACAAAATAAAACACTTTAAATAATCAGTCCATACACTCTCTTCAATCTGCTCCAAGGTTGGGATTTCATATCAGTGAGAAGAAGAACCTGGCATCCTCTCTTTCTTCTTATAGAGTGTTAATGGAGGCGAATATTTTACCTCTGTCCTTGAACACAACACTTTATTAGGAACACCTGTGCACCTCCTTTGACAGCAGTGTGTTTGGTTGGTTATTTGCATTCAATTTTATTTCATCCAATTCAATTTTATTTATATATCACAACAAAAGTTGCCTCAAGGCGCTTTGTATTGTACAACCCCAATCCCCCCACCCCCAAAAAGGTAGTTTTGATGCTAAATAAAAACGAAATGACCAATGAAATGAAATGATTTATTTACAATAAAAACAAATCAACTGTTTAAACTGAGAAAATGTACCATTCCATGGTCCTGTTGAGCAGTACATGTCAAACAGGCTGGAAAGGCCCGTCCCCACTTCAGTTAACAGTCTGCAAACATCTGGGGAATTAGGAGACCAGCTGGCTGGACTTCTAGGATCGGACCATTGTCCAATTCATGTCTCAAACAGGATTCTAGCTGCTCAGCAGTCCTGGGCCTTCTTTGTCGTATGTGTTTCATGATGAGCAGATGTTATCAGCTGGTGAAGTTCTGGCAGATCAGTTCAGCACTCGGACTCTTCTACTATGAAGTTATGCTGCAGTAATCGCTGCAGTATGGAGTTTAGCATTTTTTTGCTAAAGACATCATCTGGATGGGAGTATATGTTGCTCTAAAATCTATATATACCTACCTATGAGCACTGATGGTGGCTTTGCAGAAGCACAAGCTGACAGGTTGTAGCCATTGGATGGATAGATGAATGGTTGCTAGATGGTTGCAGACCAGTCTCTTGGCCTGTGTGACTGGGACTTTATTCACTTGATCTTACTCTGTCACTACGATTGTCACACATTGAAAATGGTGGACAAGTTAATGTTTTTATATTTTTGGGGTCTTTCATCAACAGTGAGGGGTAAACAGGAAAAGAGAAGTAGAATGAGCAGGAGAAGACACACGGGAAAGGGTCACACTCAAACCCAGGCCACTGCATCTCATCCATATATGGCATGCGGGCGCCTGCTCAACCAGTGAGCTAAACAGGTGCCAAGGATTAGTTAACGTCTCCAAAACCTCAATCGGACTGGAAATATTTTGCAACCACAGCTACTGCCATTTGTTTTAAACAAATGCATTCTTTTTAAATTAAAAAGAATGCATAAGGTAATTTCTAAGACCCAGAAGCTGTATCCATCTTTTATACACGTGAATGGAGCACGATCCTTCATACTGTGTGTAAAAATCAGAGCAGCTGTTTGGTGGTGAACCTTCTGGAAATCTCTTTCCGCAGTGAAAACATTCAGCAACTCAGTCTGAGCCTTTTGGAAACATTGGTGCAAATGACCCGATAACTTCCTGATTCGTATCAGTTAAGTTCTGTCCTGATACCATCACTCATTTTATGCTTTTTTTCCTCTTGCCTTGTAAATGCACCTCCGCAGCTTCAACACGTGTCTATACCTGCAACATTTGAGAAGACTGGTTTTTTTTAGCCTTATGGACATTTAAGCATTGATTCTGAAGTAAAAACAATGATCCACAACAGCTCGTTATACTCTTAGACATACAAACAATATCAGAAAGCCAAGTTTTAGTTGAAGCAATTGCGAGGTAACAAAAGAAACCCAGCATTCAGGTTAAAAAGTAATCCACAAGGAATTTTCCTTTACATGTATGTCCTTTTCATTGGCTTGTTGCACGAAGAAGCTGCTTTTATTTGCGTGAAACTGAACTCGGTCTGAACTCAGCCTTAATCTTGGGACTGCTGCAGATTTAGATAGAAAAACAGTTATTTGCACATCCCGTATGCATGTTGTAATACGGTGCTGTCATACGGCACACTGGACCGATAGTTCTGTAAATGTTTTTCCTCTGTGTTTATGCCAGAATTTGGACACTTTGGCATATCTAAATAACTTTAATGTTTTTTTTTGCAGCGGGATGGTAAAATCAGTAACCCTCTATTCATTTTTGAAGGCTACATAAATTGTGTGCTTTGCAGGGTGCTTTGTCAGGACATGCTGTGCTCCCAGGTCAAAGTGTCAACATCCAGTATGTACAGTAGAAAGCTGAAGCAAATCTGTTTCCCTGAAATGCTCCTTGCTGAAATATGGGTTATTTAACTGTAAGCATAATTAATAACAAACAGGTTTTAACATTTTAATGAGATCATACACAAGTACTTGATTTTGATTTTGTTGTATGTTTTCAATATTACATAAGCATGGTGTCAGGTAAAATTGCAAAGAGCGGGACTTCCTTGATAAATATTTAACTAAGTGGTAGCTTACTTAGTCTATGCACTTCATTTGGCGCTATCTGTGAAACAAAGCTTTTACGGTGGGTGCAGAACAAAGACCTGAATAACACAATTTGATTAGGCCTGTGCACTGTGCCGCCACCTCAGAGCTGAGCGATAATAGAGTGTCCACTCAGCTGCACGAGTGTAAAAGCAAATTAACTCCAGTGCATATCTCCACTGAGTATAACTTCCTAGCTGGTGTGTTGGTGTGCATGTGTGTTTCTCTTATGTCTCATCACTCAGTTACTTAACAAAGGACTCACTGTAGAGTCAGATCAGCTGGGCCTTTATACACCGAATCCTACAGTCTGGGCCCTTATTGTTGATGTTCTGGGAACTAGGCTAAAGGGCAGCATGATGGGGCTGGAGAGCATTGGGGACGGGGGTGTTGAAATAAACAGACATGACACAAGAGTGGGAGGAAAAGAAAAACCTTCCGGTACAGTATGTAACCGGTGTGGACCAGTACTCCTAGACTCATAGCCTAAAATGCAGCTTCTATCATTTGCACTGATTTGTACAGTTTCATACAAATCCTGTTCAACATGAAGATAAGCTGGACTACAGGCAGAAGCGGCACATTCAGACTCACTGTCTGCCAGTGATGATCCAATAAAATGTAATAAAATGATGTAGAATAGTTAGAAATGAGACGAGTGTCAGTGGCTTGTGCATTGCTAAAAAGCTGCAAGTATAAAGCCTGATTATTATAAGCAGACTGTATTCCCTGCTGACACTTTCAGGGTGTTATTATTACATAACATTATTATGTATAGTTTATTACTGTCTTGTCACTGCTGCTAGTATAAGATTGGGTTTAAAACTTGAAGATATTTTCTGAAATAATTCTGTTTTTCTTTTTAGTTTTTTTTTATGTCAAAGTAAGTTGCACTCATGGGCCGCTTCTTTAGTTACATTAGTTGCCTTAAATTTCCAATAAGCTGACTGAAACTAGTTTGAGATGATTTGAGCTTTGCGACATGGTGCATTGGTCAGCAGCAATACTCAGGTAGGATGTGGTGTTTAAGTGATGCTCAGCTGGAACTAAAGGACCTAAAGTGTGTGAAGAATATATCCCTCCACACTATCACACAATCGACAGCAGTCTGACGTGTTGATACAAAGCTGGAGCGCGGGTGGATCCATTCTTTTGTGTTGCTTACAAAAAATCCTGAACATACAACCTGAATGTGGCAGCAGGAATCGAGACTCATCAGACCACGCAACATGTATCCAGTCTTTTAGTGTCCAGTTTTTATGACTCCATACCAATTTTAGCCTATGTTTCCTCCTCTTAGCTGACAGGAGTGGTGCCCTGCGTGGCCTTATGGTGGTCTTCCTCCCCTCACCTTCAACCGGTTACAGCAAATGGTTGTCCCTCCCTCAGCTTGCTTCTGTCAGAGGTTTCTTCCTGTTAAAGGGGAGTTTTTCCTTCCCAGAAGTGCTTGCTCATGAGGGGGCGGGGGTGTCCTCTAACTGATGGGGTTTTCTCATATTACTGTAGGGGTTTTACCTTACAATGTAAAGTGCCTTGAGGTGATTGTTGTTGTTATTTGACACTGTGTAAAGAAACAATTTTAACTGAACTGAGTTGAATAACTTGAGTATAACGTGTGGTTATGTGAGTTTATGTTGCCTTCCTATCAGCTCGAAGCAGTCTGTCCATCCTCCTGTGACATCAACAAGGCATTTTCACCCACAGAACTGCTGCTTGCTGGGTATTTTCTCTTTTCTGGACAATACTGCAAACCCTGGAGATGTTTATGTGGGAAAATCCCAGCACAGCAGCACTTTCTGAAATACAAAGACCAGCCCATCTGGCACCAAATTCCCTTAAATCACTTTTCTTCCCCGTTCTTATGCTTACTTTAAACGTTACCAGGTCATCTTCATCGTGTCTACACATCTAAATATATTGAGTTGCCACCATATGATCGGCATATTAGATATTGAACTTAACAAACTGTTGAACATGTGTACCTAATGAAGTGGCCGGTGAATGTTGTCATGTGGTCGATGAGTTTTTTGGGGAGGGGGGGTTACCACAGGAGGGATATATTTAAATTGGACACAGGTACAAAGAGCGCATGAGTGCAGTTGCCCAGTGTAGTTCCATTTACTGTTTACGAGTTTCTCCACTTTTACTTCTACTTTCTCCTTCGCTGCTGTCTGCTCTGTGATGTCAACAGAAACCGAAACGTCGCGTGAGCTGTTTTAGAAATGGGAGGAAGCAAACGAGATGTGTCATGTATCCTGGAAACGGGACAAGCTGCGCTCTGTCATGCGCACTGAGAGGCAGGGAGAGACGGGGAGGGGGAGGCTGAGCTGGGCTGTGTCCTGAACTGGAATTTCCTCACGTCTTCTACCCGAGCCAAGCTTCACGTGCGCTCGTGTGTTTACCGGGCCAAATCCACGTGTGCGAGTCCCCCGAGTCTCCACCTCTGGACTGGAGAGGAGGGTACCCGAGCTCATAAAAGTTTAGCAGGAGTCCGTGTCTGTAAGAAATCTTAGGAGAAAGTGTCACGGAGAAGTATTTTCCTGTGAATCTGCTGGGTTACATAGCATCAGCTTCGGGCGTTTATTTACTTCAGAGCTGCTGTGAAGACTGGAAATCAGAAAAACAGCAAGATAAGGTGGATAACAGTCAGGTTTCCCCCAGCAAGTTTGAAAGAAGGAAGATTTTTTGTCTTTGAATTAAAATGTAAGTAAAACTAAAAATTTGAATTTTTGCGCTTTGGTGTGTTCAGTTGTGACTGGCCTGTTAGTGTATACAACTCTAAAACAAATCGCTGTTTACATTATATAGCTATACAACCTGCAATGTTATAGGAGCTACTTTTAGGTTCAGTCCTAACTATATTTTATCTTTTTTTAAATCTAATTTATTTATTTATTTGTTCGTTTAATCCCATAAATTACACCTTTCCATGATTACCGCCGTCCCCGTGTTGTTGTTGGGTTTGTATGTCTTTTAGCTGGTTTCAGTGTATCAACTCAAAACTTTACCAAAGCTTCCCGCACGGTTGTTTTTACGTGTGTGTGTGGTTATGATTCATTGGTGTGCAGGGGTGGTAAGGGCTCCAGACAGTGACAGCGCAGTTTGGCCAGCACGAGTTCCAGCCTCACGTGGACCCGTGTAGTAAACTGGGCAGGGTCCGAGCCGGTTCCAGCGCCGCCCGGGCATGACTCGTTCTCCCGCCACTCGCTTGAATCACTCCGCCCCCTCCTCTCACGCCGCGTCATACGCGTGACTGAGTGGATGGAAATGGGAGGGTGTGAGGAGGATGGTGTCTACAAGCTGTGTATCCACCCTCTCCCAAACTGTTTCCTTGTTTCTGATGTTTTACTTCATTCTAGGTGAATTGGATTTATTTTTGGCTCCCCAGTTTTTCCCAGTATAAGGAGTCATTTTAAAGCCCGTGTTTATTGAAAGCTTTGTTGAAAAAAACAATGGACTTAAGGTGCCAGTGAACAGTTATCAGGTTGTGTTGATGGATTTGCTTCTCTGCCTCATCTGCACTTCTCTTCATCGTCATTATTTTCATCACTTATTAAACTCTCTCCCCCTCCTGCTGTTCTCAGCTGGATAATCATGATGGGAACTGCTTCTCATGATTGTTCCCTGAAAAGAAAATCCTGGGAATTCTGCCCAGTACTTCCCGGATGGCCTTAATGACATCCACCTGAGACACACCTGATTCCTTCCTGTAGCCTTCGCAGTAAAGTGTTTGCTGTTTGTAAGTCCCGTCCAGATCTGCAGATCTGGAAATAGGATTCACAAATCACCGCCTCTGATTTTTAATCTGCATGGGGCCTGATACTGCCACCTGGTGGTGATTCTCGGTGTTTGCGCTGTTGGTCGCTGCTTAGGACTTGTCCTTACATGTCTGGTTGAGATTATGCCCTGGCATGTACCAGTGATTCAGAGAGAGGGAGGAGCGCTCAGTGAGTCACTGCCTTAGTATAAAAAGCTGCCCAGTGAGACCAGTGTGTTAGTTCACTGAGGAGCTTTACGCTGGTTTGAAAGATGGTGAGACTGATTTTTTACTTTCATACTCGAGACAGTATCAAGTAACTGAGATGGATGCACTTGTAATGGATTACAGAGCTCATTTTTCTTGGTTTAGAATAAGACTGGCGCAGAAGTTCCTCTCCTCTCAGAGAAGTCACTGCATGTTTTACTTGTGCAACATTTCATCAGCACCGAGTGTCTGGGAGGATTAGTCTCATCGCTGGAGATGCTTAATTAATGGAGACAAAATTAACTTTCAAATATGCCATGCCTGGTTTATTATTGTTGCTACTTTTTTAAAGCAAAACGCCAATCAGTGTTACTCTAACCAGAGATCTTCTGTCTGTTTCCATCAGTGTAGAGTGATGGCTTCTCACAAGCGAATCTTGGGGGTTCTGAGAAAAAGACCAGCCCGGAGAAACCTGTTTGGGCCTGTGGACCGAGAGCAGCTACAGGTGGAGTACCAGGCTGCCATGCGTAGCGACCTTCAGGAGGCTTCAAAGCGGTGGGGCTTTGACTTTAGCTTGGACAAGCCTCTGGAGAGCAGTGATTTCCAATGGGAAGGTGTCCCGAGCACTAGGGTGCCTCTGCTCTACAGGTCCTGTTTGCAGGATCTCGGACAAGCTGAAGGCCAAAGGTCAGCAGCGACAGTTACTCCCAAGAGAGGGAGGGTGGAGACGGCACAGAGCGAGAAGGAGAACATCCCCTGTACGCCGGGGAAATGCACGCACAGCCAGGAGATGCTGGAGAAAACACCGGAGAAGGGCGAGAACACGGGGCTGAAGAGGAAGCAGACGAACATCACAGGTACGTGTAGCTGAAAGCGAGAAGTCTCGTCATTTTACGTGAGAGTGCATGAGCTTAAAATTCCTGCGCTTTATCCCAACAGATTTCTACCAGGCTAAAAGAAGAGTAGTGTGGATGCCCCGCAAATCCGGCGAGTGATGTTCGGTGGAGAAACGCCAATATGCCAAGAGAACCTCACAGACAGGGCCACGCTCAGGAATCACACGTCCCGCACAGACTCTGGCCGTGCACCCAGGAGGGACCTCAACCACACGTCAATACAAAACACTTAATTAGGGTACTGTAGTCACTCTGAGGAGATTGGTGTTTTTTCCCTCAGTGGCAAGAATGCGACATTTGAGCAGAGAAGATTAACAGTAATCTCTGGAATCAGTGGATTTACACTGTTGCCCGACTGCACATTCAGCCGCACTGAAAGCACATTCACATCCGCTGGAGATGTGTCGATTAAAATCATCCAGCCTCATCATGTCTGTAAGCTGAGAGGACAAAGCTCTTTGGCTCCGTAGTTCAAATCCATTATTGTTTTTCTACAGCATTTTTTCTACATGTGTATCACAAGGGTTTACCAGTCGTCTTCTTTTTTTTACTTTCCGAAGTATGTTATACTTTTTATGTCCAGCTGTACACAGTGCTTTTATCGACCATCTTTTAATCAAAGGAAGATGCTTGAAGAGTTCTGACATCTCAAACATGCAGTTGCTTTGCTTAGATTGTAAAAGACAGAAGTGCCATCATGTCCTCTTCCATCCTTTTCCATCTACTTTACATCAGCTGATTTTTGATGTCCTTCGGCTGCCCAGACTCTGATACTGATAATGTAAACTAGGAACACTTAAACACTTTTATTTAGTTATATATGTATAAGAGATTTATCTATAAAGTTAAATATGGCATTGTCAGGTAGCATAATCATTTAAACTGCAGTGTTGCACATAAACACCCAGTATCAAGTGCCTTTACTGGCATTTGTTTTTGGTATTTAAAGTTCCTTCATCATAAGTAAATGTATACTAAGCTAAAATGTCACATTTATTATTTTCACTGTGCAATCTAACTAATGATATGTTTTGTTTTGGGTTTTTTTGCCTTAAATTTGTTCTTTTTTTTCCCTCTTGGCACTTATTTATGTCTACATTAGCAAATCCTGCTGCTATGGGTAATATGAATGGGTGTCACTGTGACGCTAACCCTCACCAACAGAAAGCTTACAAATGCTCCGAAGCCGAGAAAATAAGCGAATGACCCCAAACAACGAATGCACTTCTGTTTGTAGATGCTTGCGCACATTTCCTCTGTATTGTGTTTTGTTCAAGGCTACAAGTGAAAATCTCTGTCCTTATTTATTGTGAGATACGATGTCATGTGTTAATTTAGGTTTTGTTTAATTATTATGAAATCCAATAAAATGGTCAAATGAACCGCCTTGTGTCTTTAATGTGTCGTCACTTTACTTTTTAGTATCAGCGGTAAAACTGTTCCTTAGTTTGGTTGAACCCTTGCAGTGTTGTGCAACAGTACAACAACTTGTCATTTCTCCATTAAGGCCATTATACACTCACTGGCCGCTTTATTAGGTACACCTCGCTAGCACTGGGTTGGATCTCTTTTTGTCTTCAGAAGTGCATTAAGTCTTTGTAGCACAGATTCAACAAGGTGCTGGAAACAAACCTCAGAGATTTTGGTCCATGTTGACATGAAAGCATCACATATTTGGTGGAGATTTGTCAGCTGCATATCCATGATGCTCTATCACATCCCAAAGGTGCTCTACAGGATTGGGATCTGGTGACTGTGGAGGCCACTGTGGTGTTTTTTTTTTATGTTAATCAGTTGGCACTGAGGGGCCCAAAGTATGCAAGAAATCAGAAAATCGATTTCTTGCAGAAATCGAGACTCCTGAAACCAGGCAACATTTATCCAAACATCTAATGTCCAAGTTTGGTGAGCCCGTGCAAATTGTGGCTTCAGTTTCCTGTTCTTTGCTGACGTGACTGGCAACATGGTGTGCATAGTTTGGTTGTAACGTTGGCTGTTATTTGAGTTTCTGTTGTCTATCTGTTCAAACCATTCTCCTCTGACCTCTGACACCAATGAGGTATTTTCTCCAAGAGAACTGCCGCTCACTAATTTGATATTTTCTCTTTTTCCGACCATCAGACCATTCCCGTAAAGAGGTGGCTGTGCAGCAAAATCCAAGCAGATCAGCAGTTTCTGAAATACAGCAGACCATGCCACATTCAAAGTCACTTAAATCGTCTTTCTTCTCTAATCTGATGCTTAGTTTGAATTTCAGCAGCTCCTTAGTCTGCATGCATAAATACATGGACCTGAAGCCATGTGATTGGCTAATTAAATATTTATGTTAAGGAGAGGCTGAATACACCCTAATAAAGTGTCCAGTAAGCGTGTTAACGTATTACCTCTTGCTATTATTGGGCCACGATCAATAAGTAATACAATAATTTAAAAATAACAACACACTAAAATCAAGTGTTGTTGAAGTCTATTTTATTTATTATACCTTCCAGTTCTTTTACTTGTTTTGTTCTCAGTTCCTCTTTGAAATCTATTCCAAGTTTGTTTTTGAAGACGACGATGAAAGCGTGTTTTACGCTTGCTTTTTAGAGGGCGTCCCTCCGCGGAGACACATCCTGACGCACCGTCAGGCACAGAGAGATCTGAAGTTGGGTGAATATATCCTCGAGTAGTGCCGAGTCATGCAAACTGGCTTCTGCTGTTGTGATACCACTTTTTTTTCTTCACTCTTTTGTGAAGTAGGCAAATTACGAGAGCGAGTCGGCGCTCTGAGGCATTGTGTACTTTGGCACAACATCACTGCAGTCCCACACCAGCACAGGCGAAGTGCGCGTGTTTGTACTGGAGTTAGTTTAGGTGAGTGGAGCGCTCCCTCCCTCCCTCCACTCACCCCACCCCCTCCCTCCCTCCTCTGGCCTTATCAGCACGGGGGCACCTGCACGCCTGCGCCAAGCTCTCCCAGCCCCTCCATCATCTGTCCCTTAGCTCCCACATCCATTACAGGGCAGGACTGATAGCATTTGCATGTAGACCGAAAGAGGGACAGAAAGAGAGGGAGGGGGAGAGAGAGAGATGTAGGAGAGTGAAGCAGGGGGAGGCGGAGGGAGCATATGACACAAAGGAGAGGGAGAGAGAGATCGGAGCATTAGAGATAGGAAGAGGGAGAGGGAGGCTGCAGATATCGATGGTGTTAACGATGGAGCGTTAGGATCCAGGGAGGTGACAGTTAGCCAGACCCACGGCTGGGGGTAAAGACATTTGAGGAGGGGGGACTCCTCCTCGGTGAGCTCAGGGGGAGGCGGAGGGAGGAGGAGGAGGAGGAGGATGGGCCTCGAACACAGACTTGCAATGGCACTGCAAAAATTGGATTAAAGCAGTATGGTAACGTTTTCTGATATCCTTTTTTTTTCTTTCCTTTTTAAAATTTTTCATTTTCATTTTCCTGCGCTGCTTGTGTCTCGTCCTCGCGTGCTCGCTGGCATCACGTCCCCGCGCGTCTCCCGCTGAGTGAAGAATGCACAGGCATCACCCTGTCCTCTTGTTTTCACGCCATAGACATCTGCCATCTCCATCCTCATCCTCACCGCTTCTCTCCCGACCTTCAGGAGTCTCGGCTTCATCCACGGCGTCGCTCCGTGGATCTTTTATTATTATTATTATTATTATTATTACACGTTTAAACCGAGACACCGCGTCAGGTTTGAGCACCACCGCAGCCGTCGCTATATGCCGATTTGCGCTTTTTTTTTGGTTGCCTGTTTTCACCCATACGTAACATTGCACCCCAACTCACCCCACTTCACCCCCTCTGATCCTGCGAGTGATAGCCACTCAAAAAAGCATCCCACTTTTTATTCATCTATTTTTTTCAGAGATCAGAAAAAAAAAATGATTTGTTGTTTTTCCATCACGGGGCTGCAGTCATGCGTTTTCCTCTCCATCACACCGTGATTGTAACCTACTTTTACAATCACAGCGCGTGCTCATTTCACGCAGTCGCGCAGATATAATGTAAAATAAATCCTCGCGCCATCCCGCAGACAGAAACGAGAGCAGTGCTGTGAGAAATATCTCACAGCACTGCTCTCGTCATGTGTGAGCCCAAGCTCGTGTCTGAGGGTCTGATTGCTGCGTTTTGACGTCAGGCGGAGAGTCATTATCAAACGCGCCATCTGCCAAAGCCGCACATAAACATATAATACTGACCAGGGAATCCCCGCGTGGATCTGTCAACGCGGGGTCTCGTCGTGTAAAAGGGATTACATCCTCAGGCTGTTATGTTTTTTGTTTTTCTGAAGGAAAAGTCAGACGAACGTTCAGGCAGAAATAGATTTACATACACGCTCAGCGTGTCTTTAGCATTAAAGTACACGCCACGTGCTGCACACCTTCGTGGGTTTACATGTGTAGTTTGCTTCGATCTTAACTAATCGTCATCGTCTTCTTCTTCTTCTTCTTCTTCGTTTTTTGAGGCTCAGCAGGGCAGGAAGCATCATCTAATTAATGCATGGTGGCCTTTCTATGTGGTCTCTAATCTCTCCGCTAGATCGGTTAAAGCTAATATGCCCCGAGTGGGCAAAATGACACATTTTGACAGTCCCATCGAAGGAGGTTTATTTATTTTGTTGAGTGATTTTACTGAGGTTACTCAGGTGTTTTGTTTCTGGCAGTTGAGATCTGGAAAATATAATCTGCAGTTTAGAAAAACAGAAGAAATTTTGTTTCCTGCGGAAAGTAAAGATTCAAATACTTTACATTTTGTCTGTTTCTGTGAAGATAATTTTTTGAATTACACACAACTAAAAATGAACTGAGTGTTTTATGTATGCGACCTATATGATGTACTTTAATTATAAACGAAGCATTACTGTTTTATTGTCATACAGCACCAGTCTTGAGCCAACCCTTGTCTCTTTATATTTTGCTTCGGCTTTCCAAAGGTCTTTCAAAGTTTTTTTCTCACTTTCAGTCCAGTCCTTGTACCTTGTACCTATGAGTCATTCAAGAACAAAAACAACATCTCACTCAAGGGATGAACCAGCGTTGTCTCTTTATGTGACAGAACATTAGCAAAGAACCGATTTTAAATTGCATCATATCTAATAAATATTTAATAATAGATTTTTTAATAAGTCTAATCTAGGCACTTTGTTACTAGCAGCCTGTCACAACAGCATATAACTTGTTTCCATTTCTTTAGCTGAATCTTTGAATAATGCTTAACATAAAGTTTAAAGGAAGGAAGGAAGGAAGGAAAGGAAAGGAAAGGAAAGGAAAGGAAAGGAAAGGAAAGGAAAGGAAAGGAAAGGAAAGGAAAGGAAAGGAAAGGAAAGCCCTGACACAGGACCTAAAAGATGCATCTGACCTTGAATGTCCTTCAAGTATCCTGGATATCCCTGAAGGCTACTTAAAGAAATTACAAGAATTACAAGAAAGCTTGAGGAAGAGAGTTCAGGCGGTCATAACAAAATATTGAATTTCAAGCTCGTTGGAGTTGTACAAACTCTGTTTGCCTTAATGTGTTGTATTTATGTTAAGTTTGCACATGTAAATCACTGCACCTATTTCCCATTAAAACACATAGATATAAGGAGTGGCTCAAGACTTTTGCACAGTAATGTTTATGTGAATATAACACCAATAATAACAGCCTGTGTTGGCACCACATGTCTGCAGATGAACTTCTTTTCTTGTAAAACCCAGTCTGTGAAGAGTCAGCTACAGTGAAGATGTTTCTCCAGCGCCGTTTATCTGAATAACCTTTGTTATCTCTACTTTTACACTTTTATACTGATGAGGCTCTGATTCCTTAGTTTGACTAACACCTCTAATGTATCTGGAGCAGTTGTAGCTCTCTTTTCACCCCTGAATAGCAAGTCACTGCCCTCTTGTCCCCTCAGCTGGACAAGAGTGAGGTGGCAACTCTAGGCCTGCCCTCCACTACCAGCCATGGAGGCTCTGACACCAACATCAGCATGGACGGAGCGGGGGCAGCAGCGGCGGTGGGGTCGGTGTCTGGGGGCATGGCGGGGGGAGCGGAAGGTGCTGTGGCCGGTGAGCCGCAGCGGACACGTGCTGCTCTGGAGCATCTGCAGCAGAAGATCCTAAAGGTCACCGAGCAGATTCGCGTGGAGCAGGAGGCGCGTGACGACAACGTGGCGGAGTACCTGAAGTTGGCTCACAACGCGGACAAACAGCAGGCGTCCAGAATCAAGCAAGTGTTCGAGAAGAAGAACCAGAAATCGGCACAGACTATTGCGCACTTACACAAAAAACTAGAGCACTACCACAAGAAGCTGAAGGAGATAGAGCAGGTAAGTGTGTGCGTGTGTGTGTGTGTGTGTGTGTATGCACGTGTCTTTCTTCGTGGTCTATTGGAACATTTATCTTATGAGTGACTTGAACAAGTGTTCAGTCTATCTTTGGGAGCGCAGTGCAGTCCAGAAATAGACTGATGATTTCCCAAACACTTATTTAAACCAGTGCATCCCCCCTGTGGCTCACCTGATTCTTCACAGGGACTGCTTTCCTCATCTGTGTTCTGAGGGTTAAAACTTACCCTCAGAACATGATCAGCTCTCTCCTTTAGGATCCTCCACTTCTCTGCTTCCTCATTCCTTTTCCCCTCTTTACA